TCAGCATCTCTCCCCCCCCCCCCCCCCCACTTAACCTAAATTTCACTTTTGTTTTCCTACAGGCCTCGCCTTGGAGTTACTCTTCACAAAGTAGTTATGGCTGGAGCCCTTTATCTATTATTTTCTGGCATGGAAGGTGTTCTTAGAGTCACAGGGGTCAGTAATAACTGCTTGAATGTTCCCATATGCCACAGATCCTACTGGCTTTATTTACTTACATGCTGGAGAATCCCAGGGCTATGCTGAAAGAAAGTAACAGAGACAGTGAAGTGGTTAATCTCGGAGACTGTGGATATGGATTATTGACAGTTATTTCAAGTTTGATGTCTTCTCTATTTATCAGGATGTAATTCTGTGTATTTTGAAATAATTCTAATAGCTTTCTGATTAGTCAGGTTTCAGACACTATATTCTGCCTGGACCCTTGTGTCTAATACTTTGGGTTAGGTAGGGCTAGTTGCAGCCACAAACGTACAGCTTGGGTCACCTAGCCATAAGTCTGGAAGAAAAAACCCAAAACAAAACCAAAAAACCACTACCACGCCAATTTTGGAGGCTGTACCTGGGGGAGTACCTGTGAGTGGTGCTGCTACTTGCTTCATTAAGAAGTGCATCTCAGGATGTAGATTTCTGTTGTTCTGGTTTTGGTATTTTGGAATAAGGTATTTAACATGTCGTATATTTGATACTTTTTCAGTTTTTCTATGACACTGTGGCTCTGATAGCAAACTTGGCCCTGTCCATGATTGATGCCTGTATTATTTTGTGGATATCCTTTCATAAACTGCAGAATGTTACAAGCTTATTCACAGCTTATTAATTCTGTCTTAAAAGGAATAAAAGGTGATTTGCTTATTTCGGTTGGGACTTTGATAGTTTTTGATGTACACACAAAGGCAATTTTTGCCACTTTCAGTCAAACTCATGGTTACCCGTGGAGCATTCAGTTTGTCTGTGGCTAGTGAAAAGATTTAATTACTACATTTCTAACAAGCTGATTGCTAGTTTTCTGTAATAGAAGTGGCCAGAGCACACCGTCACAGCAATCGCCTCAGCAGAGTCTCCTTTTACCAGTGCTAGATTGACTTAATCTGGAAAACTGCTTGCTAGTGGAGAACTGAGAACTGACAATGTGGTACTGTCAGTTCCCCTCTGCATTGGGCTAAACTCTTGGTTCAAACCTTGTGCTTCTGTGGTAAAACTCAGAAGCATTGTGACGGAGTGTTTGTGGTTTCTCATAAAATAGCCTGACCTTCCTCACTTCTTCTGTACCTTGTTTCCTTTTCAGTTTGTTCTTATTGGCTCTCTCTTTGTCTCTAGGCCCAGAATGATCTTGCCTCCTTGGCTTTTATTCCCCTGGCTTTCCTAGATACTGCCCTGTGCTGGTGGATATCCTTCGCTATTTTACTTGGTGGGGTGTGTTTTCTTTCAAATTTGTTTTTTTTTTGGGAGTCTTTTTGGCTGAACTTTTTTTTAAAATCAGCTTCAAGTGTATGTTCTTTCTACTTCCGGTGAAGTTAATAGAACCTCTGTAATTGAGGGTTCAGGTAAGCTTCTGCTACAGCCAGCACAAGAAAGACTAGGTAACCGGTAGATACCTGTGTTAGGGCAGCTCCTAAATGTAGACTAGTTAAATCTGCCTGGTATCAGTCTCTGACTGTTGAAGTATGAAATTAATTTGTTCTAGCTGTAACAATGCCTTAGTAGTAGCCTTTGGAGAACAAACTCAGTTTATGTTTTGGGCAGAAGGTTTCTTAGCAACATCAAACCTAGAATTCTTTCTGTAAAATTTGAACTCATCTTGACGTAGTTGGGTGACAAAACGGATCGGTGTTAACTTTTTGGTGTCTTGACATATTATATCCAAGCAACCATAATCTTGTGTGACTTTAGCAACTGCTGTCAAACGCCGAACTCAAAGCCATGTATAGCAAAATCCCTATAAAGTGTTTTTAGTGAAAGTCAGTCACAAAACTCTAAAATGTGAATAGCTTGCTGCCCAGCCATGACAACCCCAATTCTCTCCTACCATGATGTCTCTCCTAAGCACTTGCTTTGTCACTATGGGAATAAAACTGTAGGCAAAAGGGTGAAGACACGTGTATGCACTGTCTAATTGGATTTTAACTCACTTCTAGTTCAGACTGGATTTTCCACTTATCAGAAATACATCTGACACTTTTCTGGAGGAATAGGCCGTAGTCCAAAATAGATGCTTGGATATACCATCTTTGTGTGACAAGAGTTCTAGGTTTAGATGACTAAATAACATGAAAGGGATGGATCCTGCTCTTTGGCACCTTTGCTGTAGGATGAACTTTTCTTCTGCTGAGTCTGGTCTACCTTTTTAGAGGGCTAAGTGTGTGGATGGGAGAGCTGTTGATCGTAAGATCTGTGTCCTCCTAAGTCTGTGACCAGCTTGTCCCTTCAGAGGCTTTCCTTGACTTTCCGTACATATTCATCAGCTTAACTCAAACAATGAAACTGCTAAAACTTCGAAGAAATGTTGTGAAACTCTCTTTGTATCGGCACTTCACGAACACACTCATCTTGGCAGTAGCAGGTAAGCAGAAAATTACGTTAATCCAATAAAAGCACTTGCCATTTCCATATATGGCTTGATTTGATCACTAAAGTAGACTTTGGAGTTTGGTGACCTTTCTGTAAATGCAATCAAAGTACTCGGTATTTCTAACACTTGACCCGTTTCTAATAGTGGGTCTATGCTAAGTGTTATGTTGATATTTCAGAGGCAGTGGATTATTAATCCTAATGTTAATAAGATCAGTAGTTCTATGCAGCTCCTCTAACAGAGCACTTCTGTCCCTTTTAAAGCTGCCAGGGACAAAAGATTATTATCCTATGCTGTTAACTTCACAGAGGTAGTTTTTGCCAAAATCACAGTATCACTGTGTACCATGGCATTTTTAAGATGTCTGAAGACCAGATAGCTGAAGACCAGAGTGATTCTTGGAAAAATGGTATTCTTAGTATTGTAACATAATGCCCTCTATATTCTGGAAGAATATAGATTCAGATTCTCTTTCCATTTGTAGCAGTGATGAAGTGAACTTCAAGAATAAATCCATTGGTGCTTCCAGGTGCTCAGCTCCTCATCTATTTGGAAATGCTATCCATACAATGAGGAGAAAACTTCGAAGCACTGTGCTTTTTCATTTAAACAAACAAAAAGGTGCATTCCTTTTAATCAACAGCTCTGATTAAATTCCTTGCAGCATCTGGTTCTTAGTCATCATAGAACACCTTAGTCTTATCTTCTAAAACTGTGGTGAGAGCATAGTTTGAGCATTGGAACTCTTACGGGTCAAGACCTGAATGCTTACGCATTCACGCAGATCAGATGGTTCATTTACTTCAAGGTAGGCTTTATTTGTCAATTGATAATGAAACCATGGTTTGGAAACTAGATGGAAGTAATATAAGAATAGTGAATAGGGATGAGGAGTTTGGCTAAATACTTAATGCTTGATTTATGCCTTGTGTCTCTGAAGAACCAAGAACAAGTTTAGGTCTTGGTTTAGGTCTTGAAGAACCAAGAACCTAGTTTAGGCCTGTGCCTAAACTACTGTATAAGGTCAGTGCAATAAATCAATCTCTTGTTTTCCAAAACTAATGAATTGGATTCCAAGAATTCACTATTTAGGTCTTTGCCCTTTGTCTGGGAAACAGTCCTGTTAGTAGTATATTTGGATTGTCATATTTTTGTAGTAATAAGCCGCTTGTTTGTTTTAATCTTGCAGCATCTATTGTATTTATCATCTGGACTACCATGAAGTTCAGGCTGGTGGACTGTCAGTCGGTGAGTTTATATTGAATGCTTTATGCAATTGCTGCCTCTTGATAAGTTTGCATTTGGCAGTGTAAGAGGTGAGATTGCGCATTCTGGAACACATTTTTTTTCTGTGGATTGTGTCTAGAGTAATATGCCACGTGCTAAAATTCTCGCTGTTGTGGGACACGAACTTCTTTGTCAGATGCCTATAGTTCACCCTTAGAAAGAGCTGAGGACATGGAGTCTCTTCACAACTTTTCCTATTTGTGCTGCTGTTTTCCTTGACAGGACTGGCAGGAGCTATGGGTGGATGATGCCATCTGGCGTTTATTGTTTTCAATGATCCTTTTTGTCATCATGATTCTGTGGAGACCATCTGCTAATAACCAAAGGTTCGGCTTTTCTTACCTCTTTCTAAAAATACTCGGTTTTGGGAATGCTTGTTTATCCAAAGAAGTACTGGTGGGTGATTTTTAGTTGCTGTATACTGATCCATAAGCAGTGTGTGTAGGGGCTCGAGGAAAAATAAGTGTAGAAAGCCACATAGATAAAATTCAATCTGTTCCTGGTGGTGAACTAATTTAAAAAGAAATTACTTAAACTTTTGATTATGTAGTTCAGCATACATCTTAAAAACAATGAACTACACAGAATAATCAACTCATGTGAATGTCGGGGTAATGAATCTCTTGGGTGGCAAGAGATAATAGTCTAAGATAGCTTTCATTCTTTCCCTCTTAAAAAGGTTTGCTTTCTCACCACTGTCTGAAGAGGAGGATGATGATGAGCAGAAAGAGCCAATGTTAAAGGAAAGCTTTGGTAAGAGAAAAACTTTTTTCCCCACCTAATTTCAGTGTTGAAGAGACCTTCTGTGGAGGGAGGTCTCTTGTTCTCTGGCTAAAAGTTCATTACTGCTGTGAAAGCAGAGTCAATGCCTCCCTGTTGCCATTGATTTATGCAGTTGTAGAGGAAACATTGGCTTAAACATATTTAGTGTTTACATTACCTCTTTAATTCTGCGGTTTTCAGATGACACTGAACACACTGCTGCTGTTGTGGTGGCTTTACCGTGTCCACTGGACTTTGTTTTATTAAATATGTCAAGTCTTAGATTTGGATCCAGTCATGATGATGGATATCCAAGGATCTCTCGGATATTGTTGCTAGGCAGTGGTTTAGTTCACAGTTCTCCTTTTAAAATCCAGTTTAAGGATTTTCATTTATTATCTGTTCTCTGAACTCTGCAATCTTAATCATTTTCCATCTTAGGGCCTAGTATAGGAATGTCCAGTGTAAACATATGGATGAATATGTTTACATATTTATGAAATTACATATGAATGAAAGAGTCCTGCTTTATAACACTAGGTTGCATCTTTCCACTCACTCCTCTCCTACTGTAAAACCCTCTCTCTTCCCTGCTTCCCATCTCCCTACTATGTCTATTGTCCTTGTAACAGTATTGTTTATAAGTTGTGTAAAAGGTAGGATGACATACCCACTGCTGCTGTCTGTCCAGAGATCAGTTCTGCTGGGATGTATCAGTGCTGTTTCACTTTTTTAGGAGCTGAGGAGGAGTGTGTAATCCCTTAAGTGCATTTGCCAAATCAGCTATATCTGGCTGTCTGCCAGGCTGGGAGATGCATGTTGCCTCTCTGCTCTTAAGTCAACCAAGTGGCTGGTCAGTAGGTAAAATAAATTTTGGGAGTTGCCTGTGTCTCAGAATGGTTGAGGTTGGAAGGCACCTCTGGTGGTCATCCTGTCCAAACACCCTGCTCGAGCAGGGTCACCTAGAACAGGTTGCCCAGGACCATGTCTAGACAAGGATAGAGATTCCACAGCCTCTCTGGGCAACTGTGTCTTTAAGTTCTATGCTACTTATGTCTGGCTTAAAGAAAAGGACTAGAAACTGCTACTTCCTAGGTAAAATTGCAAAAAACAGGAAAAACTAGGTATTCCACTTGTCAAGAAAAATACAAGCCTTTCAAAGGGAAAGCATTGTCTTAATGAATAACTTGTCTGTCTTACTCTGTCTCTTTGGATTTGATGAAATATTCTGAATAAACACTCAACACTTTCACTTACAGTCTGTGAACAATTATAGTTTGGTTATCCCAATCTTTTTTCCTTCTTTTGTCTTCAGAGGGAATGAAAATGAGAAGTACAAAGCAAGAACCAAATGGGAATGTAAAAGCAAACAAAGCTGTGAGTATGCCCTCCCTACCTCAAAGGATATAGATACATCTGTTCTTTTGATTGGCCCCCAGTAGTAGCTCACAAATATGCAAAGTGTTCAACCTGTAAATGTGTCTGTCCTGCTTTCCTTCAGAGTGGGAGCGAGCCAAAGTATCATGTTTACAGTATTTCTGAAAAGAAAGTAAATACAGGTTTTTCATCTAATTTCCTGTAAGCGCAATGGAAGCTTTAGAGTTCAGTCTGTTCTTCAGGAATGTTCGCACAATCCAGTATAGATAGAACTGCATAATACTACATTCTGATAATGAATAATATATTATTTCAACAAGTTTGTCAGGCTGAGAGGGAGGCTGAGACATATTTTAAATTAATTGCTCTGCTAATTTTGAGCTGTGAGATTCATTACTCAAATGGGGTGGTGTGTATATTATTATGTAGCTACCTAAATAGCTTGGGTGGAACATTTTTAGTATTTCTGCATTTTTTCCATGTGGCTTATAAGCAGAGGTGGTTTCACATTCAGCTAGGGGGTGGAAAATATGTCTCAATCTTTTCATGGAATTAATGCATAAATTTAAAAATGGAAAGAACCTGTAGGAATTCATGATAATAGCAGTAATATTTTTGTCGTTAACATTGTGTTTCTTAAAGGTTGGTTGCAACTGTGTACTACTTATCTGACGATAACATGAAAATCAAACTTTTCTATTTTGGGGACGGGGGGGTGGATCAGAAAGGGTCAGATCTCCAACTTCAAAACAAGCGCACTTGTGTTGTGAGTTAGAGAGTGTTCATCAGATAGAAATGAGAAATCCTGACAATACAGTTTAACTTACCTTTGCAAAATCTAGCTTGTGCTTTTTATAATAATTTTTCATCTGTAACATCTTCTAAAGATAATGTTCTTTTGTGGGAGACTAAATTAGACTATGTAAATAACGAAAGTGTCCTGAGGGCCTGCTTTTCCTAGTCACCATTAGACTATTACAGAGTTAACAGTAAGTTATAGGTGGGTTTTTGTTTTTTTTTTTTTTTTTCTTGGAATGTGTTTTCTGTAATCCAGAAATCAAGTTGAAAGTGGTTTTTTTGGGTTTTGGGGTTTTTTTTTGAACTGACATTATAAATACATTGGTTTTTGTCAAATAGGCTGAGAAGAAAAAGGCTTGCATGTGACAGCATTTTGGGAAAACTGACTTTTGTTTGCTATTTAATTTCTGTACTTGTAGCAGGAGGATGACCTGAAGTGGGTAGAGGAGAATGTTCCTTCGTCAGTGACAGACGTGTGAGTATTTTTACAGTCACAATAAAAGCAGGTTCCTTGGACACAGGAACACAAATATGTTGGAATGCCTTGTATGCTGCACTTACATGAGCAGATACTGAGTTCAGCCTGGAATTGGCCTCTGACCTCTTAGCATGCTTCCACTTGGCTTTATGCAGTCTGTCTTACAGACTTACAGTTCATGCCACTTGAACACATGCTGACTCAAGGAACGCTGTCTCGGACTGTGAAATCACAGACTGATTTGTTTGCACTTCACTGAAGTTAAAACTAAATAAATAAATCCAGAAAACAAAGAACAAACAAACCCTCTCTTTTCTGCTTAGTGCTCTGAAAAGTCCTTTGAGTATCTTGCCGAATGTAAACCACTGAATAATGTTAATTAGTTCTCAACTTTATTTGGAATGCCTGTTGAGTCATTTTTATGCTTCTGGCAATATAGTCAGCTATGTAGGCAGTCCATATCTATTCTGCTTTTAATAACTTGTACATCCTAAAAATGTCGGTGTCTGTGTCTAAATTTCTCATAGCAAAACAGAAGTTCACAGATCACTTATGTTCGCAATAGCTAATTTTGGCAGAGGCTCTGGATTTAAGTACAAAACTCTGCTTGAAGTTAGTTAAAGACAAGAAATCAGGTGAAGCTTCAAGACGATGAAGAAGTGCATTTTCTCAATTGAATTTGTTTTTCCCAGTTCTAGTACTTATTTTTTGAAGAATGGTAGGATTCCTTAAGAAAACAAGGACTAGACTGATATAAGCTAGGAAGGGGCACTTTGAGGTAGTCTGTGGCAGAGTTTTCTGTTCTTGAAAGTATGTTGATCACGGTTGTGAAGAGGTGAGATCCCAATAAATAGATGAAAGATCTATTGTAGCTGAAAAGGCTATGGTACCAGTGTAACTTGTTTGATTTCTGGGATGTGTTTTTACAATATGGCCCCATATTGTAGTGTCTTCAGTGTAGTTCAGCAGTGTTCCCATATGAATGATGCAGCTTATTTCATGGCTACTTGGAAATTGTTCAGATGGTAATGAGAAGCTTAGAAAAAAAGAATTTTAAAACTGTGAAGGTCATTGAGGATACTCCCTGGGCTCTTCCTCTTTTGTGTGTCTTTCTCTAGTTTCTGTCTGTTTAATTGAAAGGTCTATCTTCATTATTGCTCTCCTGTGCCCTAAAAAGCTTAAGGTGAAACATAAGGCTGAAAATGGTTGTCAATAATATGCTCTCAGTAGATGCTCTAATTCTCTTAACTAATTTTTTTTTTTGCCCCCCCCCACCCCGCAGTGCTCTTCCAGCTCTTCTGGATTCAGATGAGGTCAGTAAACAAATCTTCAGTTCAAATTAGTCTTCTGAGATGCCAAAGGAGTCATGAGTCAGCTGTTAAGGACTTGGCTTATTAGAGCTGGACTCTCTGATCTTGCCAATGCAGCAATAAAATACTACAAGCGGGGGAAGGATAGTAGGGACAACCATGATACAACTTCTTAGAATACAAATGTGTATTCTAAAGGTGTATTCTAAAAGAAGTGGTATATCTGCTGTGTAAGTTGGACTCGTGACTTAAAATGCATACAAGTGTGCATTTGTTGTGAATGTGAACCACCTTATTTCTGAATAATGTAAACCTATTGGGGGAAATTACAACATTGGGTATTTTATTTTCCAGGAAAGAATGATTACACACTTTGAAAGGTCCAAAATGGAATGAAGGAGTAGCTTTTTGCTATTGGAAGTGGAGTCGCCTCTTTTAAAGTTGCTTGGTGGAGCAAGTGCATCCTGCTGATTTGTTTCTTGATCTCAGCCTTGGAAGTTTGATGCTTTATTGTCATGAGGGCGTCTTGCTGTGGAAGAAGTTCACAAGGACATTATAAACCTTTTGGAAATTTGAATTTACAAAGTTGCTGCAAGTTTGGATTTTTAAGCAATTTAAATGTGTACTATTCCAGCACCTTCTGTAACTTTTCAAATATTTAATCTGTGAAACTAAAATTCCTAATGTCTGCTTGAGGAGTTTATATTCCAGTGTTAAAATTGACAGTTAGAGGTGAACTGCCTGTACCGTTTTGGGGGGGGGGGGGTGTGTGGGGACAGATACAAATAAGCACTGAAGCAACAAGAGACCCGTTTTCTGGTAGATAATGCCTTACCGCTGTGTATGTCACGTGTCCAATGTGAATGAGAGGTTTTTAGAGAGAAGCTCCTGTTAATGAAGAAAATTAAGATGCCAGAAAGGAAATATTTGGAAAAGTTACAGTGATATGAGTTTTTAACAAAATCAAGTGCAATTTTATTCATAACACTGTGTAAGAAAGATTTTCTATTTTAAATGCCATTGACCTATAGGTAACAGCTGCATAGAGGTAACACTTGCTGTTGTGGCACATCTCATTGCCGGCAATGTGGTGGATGCCTGGAAAAATGATTTGCCCCTACCTTCCATGTGTTGCATGATTTAATTTAAAAAAAACAAAACAAAAAACAAAAACAAAACAAAAAAACCAACCAAACATCACCAAACCCACTCCTGCAGTGCTCCTCCAGAAATGCTTGACTACTCATGTTAAGCAGATATTAACTAGACATTTCGGCAGAACTCTTCTGCCTGCACGTGTAACATCTCCCACTGAGAAGTCGGCACTCTTCCATGAGAAGATGGCGTTGCTTTCTAGAGGGTGCAAACACTGCTTACCTTACTTGAAAGAGGCTTTGATGGGAGTACACAGTGCTGGGATAGTTCTGTTCCCAGTATCTGTTTAGAATTGCCTCCCATGTAAGTGATTTGATGATGGGCTTTCCTGTCCCAGTTGGTCCCTGTGGCCAAGAGGTACTCTGATGAGATCACTGTGTTTCAGTCGAAGTTGCAGATTTCTATTCTATATAATTGCTTTTTGTTTTCCCTTTTCAAATGAAAAAGAGCTTTTGGACAGTGTTCTGTTTTTATTCTATGCTTGGCTGTAGAGGCTTCACTTGCAATAACTTACACATGGAAACCCATTGTGGGCTGTATGACAAAAGCTCTAATTTGGGTTCACAAGCTTTACAACTGATAATTACCAGGCAAGCAGCAGCACAACTGGACTTCTAGGGAGCTGATGCGGCTGCTGCTGGAATGGCATAGGGAGTCAGCTTTTCTGGTTCTTCACTCATAGCTATGTCAGCAGAAGTGAACATGTGCCTGTACTTCATTCATTCCACTGTAAGGTCTGGTAGCTTAGCTCTAGTTCACCTCTGTCAGCAACTTATGCTGAAACATGGCACTTTACAGTAGAGTAGCTGAGGCACAAGTGCATCGTATCTTCTGCTAGCTGTGCCGTGGGGGCAGCAAACCCTAGCAGGTGGGCAGAGGAAAAAAAAGCTGTGGCTGTTAACACCTCAGTCTGCCTCTGCAAGAGTTGCTGGAGCTCTTCTGCCATCCCCTGCAGGCCACAGGTAGAATCTTTAATTAGAAAACACTTTGACTTCTAATTTGCTATGCTTAATTGATATAGATGAAACAAACGTTACCTCCGTGTCCTTTTGGGGAGAGGAAATTTTGTGAAATAAAGCTATGTGAAACTCGCTATTTAATTTTTGTTTTGTTTTTTTTTTAAGTCCTATTGTTTTGGGTTGTTTGGGTTTTTTTGAGACAAATAGGGGAAAAATGTTTTCTACTGAAAGCACAAAAGAAGTTTGTATGTACTATTTAATAAAAGCTAGGCAAAGAGTAGAAAGGCTTACATTGTGTCCTTCCACTTTCTTACTACCTGTTCTCTCACATGAGAAAGTGTTAACCTCTCCACAAAGCTGCCTCACTTTTCTTTAACTCTTTATGGCATGGTATTTGTAATGCAGTTATTACTGATTACCTCTTTTTTTTCTTGTTAAGCTTGACAAGAGAGTGGAAGTCTGTGATTTGAAAAGCTAATATAGATAGGGTAAATCATAAATTTCTGAACAAAAGTGAAAGATCTAAACAGTTTCCCTAATTGCATTCATAGTTCAATAATTTAAAGACTAAAATAAATGTAGTAGCAATGTGGTGCTTTCAGCCTGCAACTACAGTGGGTTTGAGCAGTTCTCTCTGCCTTCTACCTTTCCACCCCTGTAGTAACTTCTGTCAGTATTTGAAGTTGTCCTGAATTCCACAGGGGGCTTGTGCTCCCTTAGTTAGCCGTTCTTGTTTTTCCACTCGTTTGGCAGAGTTTCTCTATCCTTGGAAGGTAGCATCTGCTGCCTAGCATGCAGCAGGCGCATACCGTGGCTTCCTTCTTTGTGGTCTTATGGAGAACTTGTGTCAGAGCCCGTTTCCCACAGTATCGTGCAGGCTATGGCACATGCACAACTACTGCCGCAATTGCAGAAGAGGTGGCTAAAAGCAGCAGATGAGATGTGGGTGAGGAGTGAAGGGTATGCGTGCAAGGGAGTTGCAGCAATGTGGCCTCTCCCTTGACAGCATGTTCGGTCAGATGTGTTGGTTCTACTAAGGGGATCTTTGCCTCTCCTGATGCCTGGTTTTGCTCCTAAAGACGTGTGGGCTCCATGACTTGTCAGGAAAGCTTTGTTGGCAAGCTAGGTTGCTAGAATGCACGAAACCAGAAATCCTGCTGGATTTTTACCTTTAATTATGTAGACAGGAAAGACTTAATGCAAATTTATACCCATTCTTTCAAAATGGGTATTGTAATTTTGAAACAAACCGTACAGACTACTCTGAAGACTTGGTGACCAGGAGATCTGCAGAAGCTTTTAGTGACTAGAATGTAGAAGCTGAATTTTCTTGAGGAAATTTGGCTGCTGACTTAAAGCATCTTCAACAAGCTGTTCCTAATTGAGATAATGCTCTACTTGCAGCACAAATAAATATCTGCCAGGAATTCAAATACAGAGGGAGTTTTTGTGCCTGATTAGTTCTCTGTGTGTGGATTTGTTTATTTGTGAGAACTAGCTGTGATATTACTGATGCAATTGTTGTAGCATGTGCGTGCCATGCAGAAAACGGAAAACAAAGTAATAGTGAAGAAGATGGTGTTGTTGACCAGCTTTTCATTAGGGTGACAAGATGTTCCTGCTAGGAGCTCCGAAGGAGGGACTGAATAGTAAGAGACCACATAGCATGGTAAAGAAATGCAACAGGCTTGATAGGCACAGAGTGAGTCAGGATCATAAGACCTAGGGTAGGGAAGGGTATGTTTATTTTATTCTGCAGATGTAGGGTGTGTGAGTTTGTGGGCTTTTTTTTAATCCTTCTGTTCACTTTATATGGCATTTTATGTTGTATGCTAAAGTATGCTGCTTTTTAAAACGTGAAGAGGCCAATGCCTCACATGTAATTTGCACTCTGGTAAAAAAGGATTACAGCAATTTGCATGTGAAGTCATTATTACCCAGCGTTACTGAAACTTACATTTCCTTTCACTAAGTTGGTGCTATGTTCCTTTTCCTTTTGCAGGAATCCTAGGTCAAGGAGACCAGATACACACCTGAGCCATAACTCCCTTGGCAATTTGCAGTTCTGGTATCTGCGAAGGGGATGTGACTTAGCCTGGTTTCATGCTTTAGCAAGGTTTCATTCCTCAGCAGGGAAGAAGTTGGATGCAAGAGTACCACGCTTGTTCTCACGTTCCTGTGCTTCCATCTCCCAGCACGAAGCGTCCTCAGTCCCTCTTTTCTGAAGCAGTGGTCTCCGTTGGTGAAGATGCTCAGGAAGCTTAGCACCATATGCTTATTTAGTTTGGTTTAGGTCAGTGGTGGTGAATATTGCACCTCTCCACAGCCAATGTAAATGCAACCATGGCCTGTTCTGGAAGGGACAAGGCAACAACTGGAGATTGAACTTCACTGGCCAAGTTCACAGGATAAGTTCACCAAAGTAAAACTTAAGACCTCCAAAACCAGACATTTGCTTGCAAGAGATGTTTTGCTGTCCTCATCTGGTTTCCTTAGGTTACGCAGGTCAATTTTTGTCTTTGTACATAGGGTGACTTTCCTACCTGCCACGGTTTACGTTAGCAAATGGCAACCTGACGGCTCTGATACTAACGTTGTTGTGGGAAGACAAAATGAGTGTCTCACAGTCTATCCCCTTTTCGGGTTGTACGAAGACGCACAAGGGCTACGTCGGGGCAAGGAGAGCCCCCTCAGGGGCAGGGAGCGCGTCCCCTGCGACCGCTGGCGCCGGCCCTGCCGACCCGCGTTTCCCGAGCCCCCGGCAGCTGGGGCGGGCTGCTCGATGTCGGCGAGGAAGGTGCTTCGTTTGCGAGTTGCCGGCGCGGGGGCTGCGCTGGGGCGCGGGTGCGCTGTGCCTGGCGCG